ACCAATGCCATTAGGAGTCATTTTATTGCTAATTTTAGCAAAATAATAGTATTAAGTGTCCCCTCGGGTTCATGCTCTATATAGTTCTGGGTTCTTGGCCACTTCAGCAAGGCCAGGCATGCATTCTACCCAATGTACTTGACCTTAATTAAATACAGTCAAAGGGAGGTTGGTTACTCTCATAAAATTTGTGCCACGATGGTAACAGTATACCTTGCAGGTAGGTCACTGCTGTAGGCCACAGGGTTTGTAGATGGGTGACAGTGATTATTATCTTTGTCTTCCAGTAGCAAGCAGAGTTCTTTCAGAACTGTTATAAATAGGAGTAAAGTACCTGTTAGGACTTCTCTATGCATGACTTCTCTATGGTTGATAATACAAATAAGTGTTGTGTTCAGCAGCATGGCCTTAGTGTCATGTTGTAGAGAACAACTAATAGCTTTGACAATACCCTGTGATGTTTGGGTAATCCATGGGACCACTTTGGCCAATGACTGAACAAGATGTAACCCGTTCTTGGCAATGGGAGGTTTTTTGTTTTTTTTTTTTTTTGTTTTTTGTTTTTTTTTTTTGGGGGGGGGGAGGGTGGGGAGGGGGGGCCCAGCTAGCTTTCATATATGTGTGTGTGTGTGTGTGTGTGTGTGTGTGTGTGTGTGTGTGTGTACTTGTACCATAGTAGGTTTCCATACTTTTGTTTTTTTGTTGTTATTGTTTGTTTTTTGTTTTGTTTGGTTTGGTTTGGTTTTTTGAGACAGGGTTTCTCTGTGTATCTTTGGAGCCTATCCTGGCACTCACTCTGGAGACCAGGCTGGCCTTGAACTCACAGAGATCTGCCTGCCTCTGTCTCCCAAGTGCTGGGATTAAAGGCGTGTGCCACCAACACCCAGCCTCTATATGGTTTTTCAAAAGGCTTTTAGTATTAGTTCTCCCTCCCCATATTTGTTCTTTTACACTGCTCTTCCATCCCCTTCCTCGTTTAATTCTCCTGTTAATAGTTTCTACTTTATCTTTATCTAACACTAAATTATTTTTCCCCTTCCTTGGGAGGTCCTCTTTTCCCCTTGCTACCTAACTTCTGTGGCTGTTCAGGTTGCAACACACATATCCAAGACTAAAAGCTAACACCTGCATATGAGAATAAACTTACAGCATCATGAATTAATTGTTCTTAGCACTTGTGTTAATGATGGTCTGTTAAGAAAGTCTTCCCGAGCCAATAAGCTATTCTCAACTTTCTCTACTATAACATTGATGTCTTATGTTGAGGTCTTTGATCCATTTCAAGTAGAGTTTTGCACAGGGTGATAAATATAGATCTACTTGGATTCTCCTATATTCTCTCATATAGGAATATAATCCTATACTCATCGAGTTTATAGCACCCTTTGTTGAAGATGCTGTCTTTTTCCTCTGTGTATTACTGGCTTCTTTATTTGAAAAATCGGGTATTCATAAATGTGTGGATTTATGTCTGGGACTTCAATTTGATTCCATTGATCAATGTGTCTGCTTTTATGACAATGCCACACTATTTTATTTAACAAAACTCTACAATACAAGTTTAAATCTGGGATGATGAGACACCCAGCATTACTTTATTATTCAGAATGTTTTAGCTATCCTGGGTTTTTGTGTTTCCAAATGAAATTGACATTGTTTTCAATTTATGTGAAGAAATGTGTTGGAATGTTGGTGGAACAAAGAGTAGCATCAGCTTGCTTCCCATATGATTGGCAGGTACTGCTTCCATCCCCCCTTCATCTTAGGGCAGGAGAAGTTGTGCCTTTAAGTCGCCTCCGCTGTCAGTGATGTCTTGATTATAACACCCTAGGTCATAGCAAAGCTTTAAGAAAGGAAGAAGGCACACGTTGGGGTGGAGCTGTAGGTATGGGGTTGCTAACAAGGCAGGACTTTGTTTTTGTCTTGGCCCAACTGGTTTCTGCCAAAAATGCTCATTAATTCATCTATCTTTTAAAAATTCTCAAATATTTCTTTGATAAATATAATCCTCCCTATCTGGTTTGTAAATCTTTCACTTTTGACTTCCCCTAGATGTTCTCAGAAAGCCCTTGTAGTAACTAACAGTTTAAAAACTGAGTGAGTAACACATTTAGTCATGCTACTCTGAAAGCAGTATCACAGTTGGTGTGCGGTTAAGTCAGTTCATAAAGATACCACAGCTCTAATGGAGACAGAGGAGCAGCAGATGCGGAAGAGGGAGACGGGAGGCGGGGGAGGGGGAGAGGGAAGGGAAAACTGTGGCCAGTTTGTAAAATAAATTAAAAATGTTAGTTCAATTTAAAAAAATACCACAACTCTCCGCCTCTTTTCTTTCCCAGTCATGAAATGAAGACACAGACTGTGACTTGTTGTCACTGTGGTACTGAAGATTAAGTTCATTTGTACTTATGAAAGAAAATCTACAAACTATAAAACTTTCTACAAATACGTCATAACATACTGCTCTACACTTTTGGGTAATCCCAGTGACAGCTACCATTTGCTAACTACTCTCCCAACCCTAGATTCCGTGCCCCTTTGTAGGGCTCACAACATTCCAATATATATCATCACCCAATCTCCCTGGCACTAAAGGTCAGAGGGTTAAATCTGTCACGAATCTCACAGATAACTGGAAATCCAAACTTAGGTATGTCAGATTTCAACATCTGTCCACTTAGTCAGTGTCCCACACACTGTTCCAAACTCTTTGCAGTAGTCTGAGGCTTGGAATTGGGGAAACTAACCTGAACATTTTCTCTTTTGTTATAAGCTGTTGGAAAGCCTTCATGTTCTTGGCTCTAAATTTTCCAACATGGAAACCACTCTAATTTCCAGAGAAGCAGAAATCTCTTCATTCACTAGTGATCCTGTACTCTCATTTATCCACTAGCACTACAGCATCTTCTGAAATGGTTTTGTCTCTTTTCCCCTCCTCTCCTCTTTTCCCTTCTCTTCCCTCCCCCAACCTGAAACACTTCTTACATTTTCATAAGCATCATTTCCTTTGCCTCCATCACTAGGTGAGAAACAACCAATTCAATTTCAAAGACTTAAAATTTTTAGGTTTTTAAGGAATTAAATAGGCATTCAGGTCAAGGACAAGGTCTTTGTATGGTAATTATATGATTAATAATGTATTGCTGTGAATTGTTGCTAAAATTTTCACAAATACAGACTTTCCCCCTTCAATTTTTTCCAAGTTTATATTGGTTGTCACATCTCAATTGTTCATGTACAAAATTAATGATTTGACAAGTGATTGTTATGAATCCCATACTAGACCAAAATTATCAAGAACGGTGATAAATGACACCTTCTGAATGGGTGTTTAACAACACTTGTGAAATGTCTTTACGAGTGTATCTATTTGAAGTTCCTATAACTGTGATTGCTGTGAAATGGTAACTGCAATGATGAATGGCATAAAGAGCAGATGCAAATACAGCTTTGTGGAGGAGTGAGAAGTAGTCACCACAGTTCCTATTAACTCATCAGCATGTAGGTGCAATTAGCACTCAGGAATTCATAATTGCATCACATTGCCAGCTAAGCATTTAAACACAAATTAGACTATTCACCCAAAGTACATATGACATGTTTCCCTTGCAGAATACATTGCTATGGACAAAAGTTTTCAGTTTGGGAGGCTTTTGGTATGTGTGTGTGTGTGTGTGTGTGTGTGTGTGTGTGTGTGTGTATGTTTTGTGAAGTCTCTGTGTGTACAAATTTATGGAGCTCAGTGATTCAGCTAGACTTCTGGTCAGCTAGCTCCAGGGATCTGCCTCTTCCCACCAGTGCTGAGGTTACAAACACAAGCCATCATGCTCATTTTTTCATACATGGCTTCTGAGGCTCTATACTGGGGTCTTCATTTTACCTAGCCATCTCCCTAGTCCAAGTTTGAGTTTTCTATCTTAATTTTCCTCTTTGCAATTTATTTGATTCCAAGAATACCTTCACATTTACCCTAAATTTTATAGCCTTTTGTTTACATTCCATTTTAAAAGTTATTCTGATCATATGCCATAACTTCAGTCAATTCCTTCTGAAAGTACATGAATTAACAGGTATAAGTGGATTCACCTGAACCTTACATGTTTAATATGTTAGTAACTGATGCTTAGGGGAAAATCTCTTTGGAAAATGTATAGCGAAAATCCTGGAGACTAGCTTCCTTGTCATTTTAATATAGTGTAGAAAGGTTACCTTGCTCTATTAGATTTCACTGCAAGGGATTTATTAGGGATTTCATTCAAGCAATTTATTAGGGATTTTATTCTTAGAAATTGATGGAGATAGGGGAGGCAAGACACTGGCAAACAGAATCACTTCCTGTGGAACTGCCAAGGGATTTATTAGGGATTTCATTCAAGCAATTTATTAGGGATTTCATTCTTAGAAATTGATGTAGATAGGGGAGGCAAGACACTGGCAAACAGAATCACTTCCTGTGGAACTGGAAGAACTGTCTCCAGCTCTAGCTACAAACACTGAGGTTTATTTCTGGGGCCAAAGCCACTTCCTTTGTCAGAGATGCAACAGGTCTTGGTGAAGTGTGAAATACTGTTTGACATACTACCGGGAGAGTTTTCCATAATTCTGCCTGTGTTCTAGAATGTAAGAGTTAGTTTGAAACATGCTCTCAGAAGCTACTGTGAGATATAATACTCTTATTCTGTGCATCCTCCCCTATCTTGCTAGCACTCTGTCGTGTAATTAAAAGACTAAATTTTGTTGTCATTTATTCTGTTGTAAGGACTTTAAAAAGACTTTGAAATAAGGAGTAAAAAAATCTTAGTTCAAAAGTACTGAAAATGCACTTCAACTGTTAAACATGAAATCAAATTAAAATTTTGGAACAAGAGTGGAACTGCTCAATTATCCTATGTATATTGAGGTTGAGCTGATTTTCATGGAAACTATTAGCTTTAGAGTAGTCTGTACGGAGAAAGCCTCTTTTATCCCACCTTGACAAAATGTTTCCTCTTTCCTCCAAGGTACCAGATTCACACAGGACTCCAGCATTCCATCATCAGACCTACCCAACCCAACTGTCTACCTCTAGACAACGCAACCCTACCTCAGAAGCTGAAGGAGGTCGGCTATTCAACCCATATGGTTGGGAAATGGCACTTGGGGTTTTACAGGAAAGAATGCATGCCCACCAAGAGAGGATTCGATACTTTCTTTGGCTCCCTTTTGGGAAGTGGAGATTATTATACACACTACAAATGTGACAGCCCCGGGATGTGTGGCTATGACTTATATGAAAACGACAATGCTGCTTGGGACTATGACAATGGCATTTATTCAACACAGATGTATACTCAGAGAGTGCAGCAAATCTTAGCTTCCCATGACCCCACAAAACCTATATTTTTATATATTGCCTACCAAGCTGTCCACTCACCACTGCAAGCCCCTGGCAGGTATTTTGAACACTACCGATCTATTGTCAACATCAACAGGAGGAGGTATGCAGCCATGCTCTCCTGCTTGGATGAAGCAATCCACAATGTGACCCTAGCTCTGAAGAGGTATGGTTTCTATAACAATAGTATTATCATATATTCCTCAGATAATGGTGGACAGCCCATGGCAGGAGGAAGTAACTGGCCTCTCAGAGGCAGCAAAGGAACATATTGGGAAGGGGGCATCCGGGCAGTTGGTTTTGTGCACAGCCCACTTCTGAAAAACAAGGGAACAGTGTGCAAGGAACTTGTGCACATCACAGATTGGTACCCCACCCTAATTTCGCTGGCTGAAGGGCAGATTGATGAAGACATTCAGCTAGATGGATATGATATCTGGGAGACCATAAGTGAAGGTCTTCGCTCACCCCGAGTGGATATTCTGCACAACATTGACCCCATTTACACCAAGGCAAAAAATGGCTCCTGGGCAGCAGGTTATGGAATCTGGAACACGGCAATCCAGTCAGCCATCCGCGTGCAACACTGGAAGCTGCTCACGGGAAATCCTGGCTACAGTGACTGGGTCCCCCCTCAGGCTTTCAGCAATCTGGGCCCAAACCGATGGCACAATGAGAGGATTACCTTGTCAACTGGCAAAAGTATCTGGCTTTTCAACATCACGGCTGATCCATACGAGAGGGTGGACCTATCTGGCCGGTATCCTGGCATCGTGAAGAAGCTGCTGAGGAGACTGTCACAGTTCAACAAGACCGCAGTGCCTGTCAGGTACCCCCCGAAGGATCCCAGAAGCAACCCTAGGCTCAATGGAGGAGTCTGGGGCCCATGGTATAAAGAGGAAAACAAGAAAAAGAAGACAAACAAAACTAAGGCTGAGAAAAAGCAAAAGAAAAGTAAACCTGGGACGAGGAAACAGCTGACAGTGCACTCTTCAACAAAATGCCACCCAAGTGTTACCACTGGCTAAATGCAAGACTTTCTGACTTGGTTAAATATAAATAGCCTGGTTTCTAGGTAATTCGGAGAATTTGCCTCAGAAGTACCACTGCCAGCTGCCTCGGGCTTATTTTCACTTTGCTCTCTGCCAGCCACTCCTGGCATCTGGCTGCCACGTGGACCAAACCACCCTCCTGAGTGCCAAAGGTGATGCTCCTGCAGGCCACACAGGGAGGAGAATGCAATCATTTAATCCTCTCAAGCCTCTGAGTGATTAGTCAGTTGACAAAACAGAATGCTTTGAATTGTGACAGGGACTGGGACCTGTAGTGAGCAGGAGCACTAACCTGATTGAAATTACAGGGTAACATGATTAAAGACGACTATTGATACAGTCAAAGACTGTGTTACCTCAAAAGCCTAAAAGCAATATTTCCAAATGAAAAATTTTATCTGTAACATATGCAACTTGGGCTTTTAGACTAATTCAATTTTGTGTTGTCTTTGTCTCTTCGCTGAGAAAAAGCTGTTTTTCATAGGTGGACAGCTTACACCTCATCTTATCGTGCTTAAAGGAAGAGAAGATAATGTCTGAGCATTGCCAAGAATGAATGTAACCACGTCCCAGACACATTAATAGAACAATAATTTTAGTAGAACATGCCTAATTTATTTTTCAAAAAAGTTATGAAAATGATTTTAATTATTTTATTTTTGGTTTCTAAGTAAGAATTTTATTTCAGTTCCTTAAAGTTACTAAGCACTGTAATGTCATAAATGACTGTAATATCATGTTGACTGTAGTATCATGTATGTTCATAAAATATAAAAGTCATTCAGAAAAAAGTTACAGTCATCAGTTTCTCACCATCATTTGAATGTAAGAAGAAGATATTTTTAAAATTTTGTAAATTTGTTATTGTACAGAGCTGATTTTACTTTATTGTTTCTACCATAAACTATTTATGCATATTAATTATTAAAGTGATTTATTTTATGGCATTAGTGTGGCTTTCCCAATATTATTATTACACTTCTAGATACAGTCCTGAAGAGACCAGCTCCCCATTTCGGCAGCCATAACAGCGGAACACGTGCTTGTCTGACCTTGCCTTGGTCACTAAGAGGTCAGATGCCTGCCTCATGGCAAGGAACCAATCAGAAGTTAGGTGGTGGCACTATGCTTTACAGCTCTGGGTGTGCTTTACGGAGAATTGCAAAGCAATGACTTGCAGAGCATAGCAACCACCCTGGGATGGCCTATGGACCATAACAACCAGTTGGCCAATCAACACAGGGCAAGCCCTCCAAGCCTGGAGGCACACCAATCCTGAGCCTGTGCGTACCCCTAGACACTCCCCTTAAGCTGCAATATAAGATCTCTATGCAGCTGGTTCAAGCTGTCTTTTCTAGCCATCTGCCATGGTGGATGGAAGAAAGACCGGAGCTAAAATGGAGTTAGCTCATTAAACAACAAAAAAGCCTCATACTGTTTGCATCAAGCTTTCGACTCCACATGGTGATTGGGGTGGCTGAGGTCCTGAGCTAAAATCCTGGAGGCCTGAGCTTTCCAGGGGTCTTACAGTCCTTTTATTTATTTAGACAAATACAAATCTTCTTAGCATTTTTGGCTGCCCAGGTTGGCCTAGAAATCCTGGAGGCCTGAGCTTTCCAGGGGTCTTACAGTCCTATTATTTATTCAGACAAATACAAATCTTCTTAGCATTTTTGGCTGCCCAGGTTGGCCTAGAATTTGTAATGACAGGTGTAAATCAGAACACCTGGCAACAAGCAAATAGGCATTTGAAGAGATGGTGTGCTAACATGGTAATAAATAAAGATTTTGCAAATGAAGAGATTTTTTTTCTCACGTGGTCAATGCATTGAGAACAATATTCTGTTATTGATGAATAATATATATACTGACCCTCCTCTTACATAAAGTACAGGATAGAAAAAAAAATAGAAATGGAAGATATAGATGATCTGAGAGCTAGTTAAAAGTCTACCAAGGAGCATGAGAAGATTAAAGGATTACCTGAAATGAAGCTAATCACAGGGCCATGGAGCAACAACTGTTACTAGCAGCCATGAAGCTTTCTTTGACTTGCCCTCTCTTAGTGCAAAAGCTAAGAATTTACACCTGAAGAGCCAGAGAGAGCAGGAACTGTGGCCTGTAAGTGAACAACCATGATAAGACAGTTGTTGGTAATGGAGGATGTGTGTAGGATCTGCACCATTTACCTTGCAAATGTGAGAAGCAACGGTTACCCTTCAGGGTTCCAAAAACTTGTGAAGGCATCCACTAGATAGTTCTAAAACTAAAGGATACAATGGGCAAAACGAGTTTTAAAATTTTTAACATTACTATTTTGTTTCTAAAGAGTATAGTTCCATTTTACTACATGGCATTCCTGAAGCTTTGTCTTGAGGTGAAATTGTCAGCACATGCCTTTCTTTATGGAATACAAGATGGTGCTGTGACTTAAGAGATACTGTAAGGTTTTTTTAAAGCTATAACTAAGCTAAAGTGTAGAAGAAAAAAAAAAGGTTTAAGACATGCTTGGTTGGTCTAGGCATGGTTCACACCTTTAATCTCAGCACTTGGGAGCCAGAAGTAAGTGGATCAACATGAGTTCCAAACCTGCCTGGTCTATATAGCCATTTTTTGGGGTGAGGAGCTCAATTAAATCATTTTAATGCAGATTTAATTTAAATCTTTTAAACCTTCTTGGCATTATAAGTACATAAATTGGAAACTTCTACACAGCCTCTTCCCATTTATTTATCATAAAATTCTTATCTATAATTCATTACACTGGAGTAGGATTCTGGAAGACTGCAAAATTGCTATGATAAGCATAGAATCTTGGCTGGTCATGATGGCTTAAACCTTAAATCTCAGCACTGGTTTACAAAGGGAGTTCCAAGACACCCAAGGCTGTTATACAGGGAAACCTTGTCTTCAAAACAAAACAAAGAATCTTACCATGTGATCTTCTCTGTGGTGTTTGAAAGGCAAAGGTAGGAAAAAAGAACCATGAAGATAAAATTGTGAATATTAGTCTACAATGTAGCCCAGAGTGTTACCTGTTTTGTTGGGATTATTGGTACTCCATAAATACCTGCAAATTCTTAATCCTGTGCACAACCCAAAGGTTTTCTGCCATGAAATGGCTTTAGAATTATCTGTTGTTATTTTGAAAATATTCTTTATTTATTACATGGCAGTTCAATAAATGTAAACAATGTATTCTGATCACCCCTCCATTGCCCTCTCTTAACCCTACCCAGAGAACCCCCTTTTTCCCTCCTGCTTCTTTGATTGAATTTTAAATAAAAACCAATAACAAAACATGTTGGTACAAAACACCTTACAGTCTGTGGAGTCCTCTAGCTCTCATATGTCCAGTCTATAGCAAAGATGCACTTCATCTGTATTTATATGCCTTTTTCTCACTTTTCTAAGAATTTATGAATATTATAATTCCCCTGATCAAGCCCCCATTGAAAATTTTAAAAGGGAAGCTGTCCAGACTGGTGAAACCCAAAGAAACAGCTAACTGAACAAAGGGGAGTACTTGGTCCCCGGACTGATCAAGATCCCAGGAACCTGGGTGTCAGTGAGGAGGCCTCAGAAATCATGGAGCCTTCTGTAGTAGATCAGTACTAATCCCTAGCATAGGTGTGGACTTTGTAATCCCATTCCATATAGAGGGACACTCCCTGAGTCAAGACACATGGGGGTGGGCCTAGGCCCTATCCCAAAGGATATGACAGACTCTGAAGACCCCCTATGGAAGGCCTCACCCTCCCTGGGGCGCAGAAAGGGTATGGGATAGGTAGGGTGTTAGTTGGGTTGGGTGGTAGTAGGGGAGGAAGGAAGGGAGAGGGAACTGGGATTGACATGTTAAACAATCTTTTTTCTAATTCAAATAAAAAAAGAAAAAAAAGAAAAGGAAAAAGTAATCTCAGATAGCAGCACCACCTGCTAATCACAGCAACTTCCCCTTTTTGCCCTCTGGAATCTTTAAAAATGCCTGAGTATTTCTCTCTTTACTGCAGAACTGTCACTCACATGAATCCACACAACTCTATCCAGATCCTCTCCTTAGTTTGTATGTATTTTAGGGCAATAAAGAACCTAATTTTAAGTAAAAAATAAAAATAAAAAAATTAAAAAGCTGTGCCACTGAAAGCTGATAATTATAAGGCGAATACATTTTAAATTTTGATTTGCCAAGGAATTGGTCTTCAGGATCAGCTCTGAAAGCATTTTATTTAATGTTCATTGTGGGAGCCCACAAGAGACTCAGTTTCCATCTGGAATCTATTCTGACTTATAAGATATTAGAGTTCAAGCTTTCTTGTTTCAGTCTCCTTGAGAGCTGTGAGAAAGTTCTGATTAAAGCCATGGGAAAGAGCATATCATCTAGTTAACAAGCTTCTCATGCCAGCAGAAAGGTACATAGAGATAGGGAATGAAACTGCTTGCTGCTAGCAGGACTCGTGATAGATAGTGAGCATGGTTGTTCCTCAATTCAAGGACAGTGCAGGGATCTGGCTAACTGATTATACAGTTCTTTGTTCTGCTTAGCCTCTAGAATAAGCAGGTTCTAAATTAAACTCGGGGCTGTCCTATGTGCTTAAAGACATGGACTGGGCAGTCTTGTTGAATTTATCTTGTGTTTCTGTCTCTGTTTCTCCTATCTGCCATTTTGCACTCCTCATGGCCCTACTCAGGTAACCTAGCTGACTTGTAGGAGTCAGAATACATATTGTTGACAGGAAGAAGTTGCCTAACCCAGCAAACAAAATCTACATGTCATGAGTATGGTGATATATTATTTATGATTTATTAAAGCTTGCCTGAGGATTCAGCAATCAAAGTCAGTCACAAGTCATAGAAGCCAGGCATACACCTTTAATACCAGCAAGCAGAAGCTAGGAGGTAGTAGTACACACCTTTAATCCTAGGATTTAGGATTGAGAGATGCACAAATTTCCATGAGTTCAAAGCCACCCAGATCTACACAAGAGTGAATCAATCTAAAAGAGAATTATAGCTCACACCTTTAATTCCAACATTAGGGAAGTATATAAGACAGAAGCAAGATCTCAGAGAGGTATTCACTCTCCAGCCACACTGAGGAGAGGTTAGAGTCTGAGGCTTGGAGAGAGCTCATGGAGTCAGGATCAGCCCTTGCAGTCTGAGATAGAGGCAAGAATCTAGTGGCTGGCTGCTTTGCTTTTCTGACATTCAGCTTGAAGTTTGAACCCCAATATTAGTCTATGAGTCATTTATTAATTTGTGTTACAGATGAGCGAATAGCTATTTTCTTTCTTAAGGGGAAATCATATCATACAATTCATTCACTTAGCAGCTGTATGCTTTGTTTTATTCTTGTGCAGGCTATATTCTAGACAACGGATGCTGGTACTCAATAATATTCACAAGAACAAGTTATTAGGTGCCCAACAAAGAATTTGTTGAAAAAAAAGAATATATAGGTTAAAGGAGTAATTCATCCAACAACATGTTTACTCACCCATTGGCTCAGCATTTGTTAAATGCCATAGTAATGATGTATGCAAGAGTATAGTGACAAGCAATAATGGGCAGGATCCAAGTTTCCATGCCACATCCATGCCCCAGAAGGCACAGCCAATTGAGCCACATGAGACTGCTATCCTCTTCCACCAACACTACACATTTTTCCTCAATGGCATTACAAACTGGTTGTTACATTATTTTACACTTGCTGATGTGTTTTTTATTGTATGTTTCCTCACCCTGGATTGTAAAATTCTTAAGAAAAGTGATTAATGTATGTCCATCTATATCAATATTGCCACTATATAAAACCACACCACAAACATAGTGCTTTCTACTCAGATTTGAGTGATTAAATAAAATCATATATTCTTCTCCTTTTTTCTAGAGTTCATGAGTTTCCACGAATTTGATTCAGCTGTCTCTGTAGATTTCTCGATCACAGTCTTGACCTCCCTTGCTAGTATATTCACTCTTCCCTCTCTTTGCCTGGATTCCCTGAGCATAACCTGGTTCTTGGTTGTGGATCTCTGTCTGGTTCCATTGCTTACTGGATGAGGGCTTTATGATGGTAGTTGGGGTATTCATCAATCTGGTTACAGGGGTATGCTAGTTCAGGTATCTTCTCTATATTGCTAGGGGTGTTAGCTGGGATACTTCTTGTGGATTCTTGGGAGTTACCTTAGCACAAGGTTTCTCCATAACCCTATAGTGCCTCTCTCTATTAAGGTATCTCTTTCATTGCTCTTCCATAATATCCTTCCCACCTCCACCATCTCATTCCCTCCTATTCTCATCTTTCCTCCCCTTTCCATTACTGCCCCCTCCCCCCAGTTTGCTCCGAGCTCATCTGACTTATTGGTTTAGTAATAAGTCATCAGGAGTCATTTTGTAGTATGTCCTTTTAGCACACTAATAGTAGTATGTTTTTCCCCTAAAGCTTATGACCTAGCTAGACAGACATCTTAGCCTCATTAGCACAATTAGTATATTGTGGAGCATACCTTAAATCTAATTAAAAAAAAACAAGTTTTAAAAAAAATAATATTAGTGTCACTATTTAACCAGTGGGCATAAACTGTTTGTCTCAAATGTCCAGGCTAATGCTCTCTAAGTGTTTTAACATTTTTTTTGCTATGTCTTTGCAGAATGTCACATATATTTTTCATACTATTATAGATTTTTTTTCCATTCCCCTAATTGAACTGATACTTAGATTTTGGTCACTAGTCTCCTAAAGATGAACTAATGTTGTCAGTGTTTCTTATTTTCTTTCTTTCTTCCTTCCTTCCTTCCTTCCTTCCTTCCTTCCTTTCTTTTTTATTTAAATTCTTTAATTACCACTCATATTTACATATCCATCCTCCCTATTCCCCACCAATCCCTCCAGCCCATCCCCCAACTCCTCCAGAGCTAAGCACTGAACCATACTACTGGAATTCAGTTGTGGAGAGGGAGGAGGGATAAGCAAAGGAGCCAAGATGAGGATTGAGAAACCTGCAGAAACAGTGGACCTTACTTAGTGAGAGCATGGAGACCCTAGTCATAAAGCTGCAGAAACAGCATTGGACCAAACCAAGTCCTCAGAATGTGGGTGCCAGCTAGGAGGCCAGGACAGTCTATGGGACCTCTAACAGTGGAGCCAGTCTTGAATCCTAGAAAACAAATGGACTTTGGGAGCCCATTCCCTATGGAGGGATACTGTTGCAGCCCAGATATAGCAAGGTAGGCCTGGGCCCTCCCCTAAATGCTATGACAGATTTTGAAGGTCCCTGGTGGAAGGCCTCACTGTCATATATTCTTCTATGCAGCTACATTTGCTTATATTTTCTTTCTTGTTTCTTGTGTAAGGATTTCAGTTTAAAAACAGAACAAATCATCTTTTTTTTTCCCCTTGAGACAGTATCTCTCTAAGTAATCCTGGCTGTCCTGGAATTCACTATATAGACCAGGCTTTGCCTTGAACTCACAGAGATCCACCTGCCTCAGCATCTCAAGTACTGGGATTAAAAGAGGATACCACCACGGTCAAGCCCAGATTTCCTTTTTGTTTTTAAACAAAGGTCTCACGTAGCCTAGGCTGGCTAAAAATGTGCTAAAATATGTACTTGGGGATTACTGTCTCAGTTACAATTCTATTGCTGTGAAGAAACATTATAACCTTATAAAAGAAAACATTTAACTGGAGGCTCATTTACAGTTTCAGAAGGTGAGTTCTTGACCATTATGGTGGGGAACATAGCGGCAGGCAGACAGGCAGGCAGGTATGGTGTTGGAGAAGTAGCTGAGGCTTATATCTATTGTATCTACAAGTTAGAGGCAGAGAGAGAGACTGGGCATGGGGTGAGAATTTTAAACCTCAAAGCCACTCTCAGGGACACTGCTCTTTTAAAAAAGCCACACCTCATAATCCTTGCTAAACATTCCATCAGCTAGGAACCCAGAGTTCAAATATATGAACCAATGGGAGCCAATCTCATTCAAACCACCACAATGATCTTGAAATTCTGACCACCCTGCCTCTAATTCCCAAATGCTGGTATTACAGATGTGTGCCATGATCCCCAGGTTAGAATTAATTATCTTTAATACAATTCCTCACAGTAAAAGAAATGGCATAAACAGCAAAAGTTTCTAGAACTATACCAACTTTTTGCTGGAACAGAGTGTTACAGTAAATGCTCATCAAGAAAATAAAATAAAATCAAGTGCAAACTTTATATCGCCTTTATTTCCTCATAACACAGAACATTGCCTTTCTAACACAGCTTTGAGTATTACAGAATGTGCTGCCTTAACAG